TTCCAACACTATTTTCCAACTTTTCAATAACTTTCAACTCTTTTTTCAGTACTTTTTGTACAGTATGACTTTCCTATGAATGAGATCTGATTCAGTCCCATGAAGAATGTTTGGAAGAACAAACTGAATAGAAAAAATTTATTTTTGTATAACTTAGAGTTCATAAATAAGTAATTGTTTCAAAAGTATTTTTTATTTTGTGTCATTCGAAGTAAATAAGAAAATAGTTGTTTCGAAAGGGATTTTTCTTTCAGAGATTACCTGAAAGTAACCTCCTTGCATGATCTACACATCTTTGTTGATATTTTGTTTTGAACTCATTTGCTTTCTTTTTTCCTTCGAAGGTTTTCCAAATTTTTTATATGAGGATGGACAGATAGGGTCTTCCAACAGGGACTTCACAACTTTGACAATTGATAATGGCCATCTTGTCGAAAGTACATCTTTCAAATTAGTTGTAATTTATTCGGTCTGTTTTGCCAAATCACCATGGACCATTTTACGATCGCCATATTCATCCTACCGAGAGTACTATTCGTAATGTGATGGATGAATTTGATTCAACTGGTTCAGTAAACGATCGACTAAAGCCCGTACGTCGACGAAACGCAAGATCTGCCGAAAATATTACTGCTGTCTGTGAGAGTGTGCAGGATAATCCAAGGTAGTAGATTTCGCGTCGATCGTAAGAACTTGGCCTTGGACGATACCAATCCACATAATATCCAAGAGCGTCCAATACATGCTGAAAAAGTCACCATTTGGTGTGAATTTCGGGCTAGCGGCGTCATCGATCCATATTCCTTTGAGAACGACGTTGGCCAGACCATCACTGTCAACGGCAAGCACTATAGGTCAACGATTACCAACTTATTCTGGTCTGAATTGAATGATCTGAACACCAATGAAATGTGGTTTCAACAGGACGCCGCTACGTGCCACACAGCTCATGTCATATTGACGATTCTGCACGAACTATTTGAGGGAATGGTTATCTCACGTGCAGGTGATGTGAACTGGTCACCGAATTCATGCGCTTTGATCCCGTTAAACTTTTTCTTGTGGGGTTTTCTCAAGTCACAGGTGTATGCGAATAAGCCACAAACTACAGCGGTCCTCAAAGCCTAACATAATCTATGCCGTTGGTCCAATTCAGCCTGATTCATGCGATAATCGTGGAGAATTGGACGTTTCGGATGCGCCTCACCCAGAGAAGCCGTGGTAGACATTTGAACAGTATTATATTCCACATATAATGGCAGCAATAGGTCTTCCAAACGAATTTAAAATTTTGATGATATCTCACACAGTTTGTTTTATTCAAATTTGAAGATAGGAAGCCCTCAATAGAAGATCCTATAGAAAGCCAATACCTTTCTTCCTCAATTTCACACTAATCAGCAGTATATCAATGTCATTTGAAAAAAGCGTATGATGAAAAAATACGAGGTTTTAAACGTCCAGTACTGACAAAACTAACTTTGTATGAAATGAGTACGAAAGTCAAAACAGTCTTCTTTCACTTACTGTAAAACAAATGATAATAAATCCTTTGTATTCAGATAACTGTAAGAGACGTCACTCACTAATTTTGCATGTATGTTACTGTTTTGAAATAGGCCAATTTGCAGTTGATGCGTGAAGTTCTGAGAGAATGAGTAGATATTTTGATTTTTGAATATCGATGGGTCTACTTACCCTTTACTCTTGTGTATAATACCAGGGAAAAAAAATTTGTTTCATTANCGAAATGTAACAAAAAATAATCATTTTTGTATTGAGTGCGTAAAATGGGTGTTTTTCAATGGCACATGATAGTGTTAATTTTCGGCCGAGATAGCAGGTCGAGGCCAAAAAGTCACTCGAGTGTGACATGAAAACACGAATTTATTGCACGAAATACAAAGAACATTTTTTGAACAACTGTGAATGTGAATTTACATAGTCTGAAATGTTTGAAAATGAATACTTCCAGACTATGACGTGGTTTTTTGTCCCGATAAGTTATCGCTTTCGAACGACTGTTGTTTTGAAAATATTACTCAATGTTTTCAGTAAAATCGTATTCAGAAGTATTTTCTGTCTGGAAAATAACTAAATAATACTTCCCTTCCCCATACATTTTATCCTTAATGTTATCAATTCTTCCAATACAATTTCACAGCATCCAGTGGTCTTTCTGCGCCGTTGCTATAGAAACGATTTGTTAGCACCCCGCGTGTTTGACTGGTTTGACTATGTTTGTTCGTAGTTGCTTCAATTTCAAGTTAATTTCTTGAAGATGGATGTTGATTATAATAGTGTTAGTGATACCCCATTAGATATATTTGAGAAAGCAAATGCAATAGTATCTAATATGTTTCCAGCCAAATCCAAGTTAGTAGGTATATGATAAAACATATGACTAATTTTGTGAATGGGGCGACAAGAAAATGAAAAAAAGGTTCCTGAGGTTTGAGGAAATATCAAAAATTATGGAACCTTCGTTATGGAGTGTGCCTCTAATGTTGAAAAGTACATTGAATGTTGAGAAAAAAGAAGAGAAAAAGAGGAGTTGCAGTTGGATATACATCCAAAAGACTTGTTGATATCTTCAACGTTCAATAAGTGGTCTGGAATGGATTTGAAATTTCTTTCATGGTGAATATTCGAATCGGATAATTCTTTCCATATCTGCTTACTTCTTGTAATGCTATGATTGAGATAAGCTCTTTTCTCCAGGTCCACAGTACGATTGGTTGAATTCCTCAACAGTTTGTGATAATCCCAGTGATACTGTAACTTTGTCTTTCTAAATCTCGTAAGA